AGTTAAGAAAAATTTTCAAACAAATTGACGCAGAAAAATCCCCATGGTAAAATTAAACAATTTTAAAAATTTTTCTTAACTTTTTGGCGGTACCCCTCGCTAAGAATAGAAAATTTTCCAGGTTAACAAGTGTGCTGAATACGAAAAAGCACTTTGCTTTAACTCTAAATGAACTTTAATTTTTTGTCGGTGATATGTTTTAATGATATTTATCTTTTCTATGACTTTTCATTATTATCTAGTTTATCTTGATGAAGCCTGATACATAGATTTTTTATCGAGATAAAAATGTCATTAACAGGATAAGCAAAATATCTTGCTGTAACAGTGTAACACGCTGTATCTTAACAATGCGTTTATCGTGGTAAGACTCCAAGTACCAGACTATCAAAATATATTCGAATAAAAAATACTATCTTAATTAGCCGCGAAGTAAATATAATCTCGTAAATGCTGTAACTATCTCCATACTCAAAGCATCTAAATTTAGCGCTACAGAAATTAATAAGATGTATCAGTTTACATCGTGTAATATATAGCATAGTTATAGCGATCAACAATATACACGGATGTATAGTAACCCCTCGATACCTGGATAAAAACAAGCTATCGGTTTCCAGTGCGATAAACATGATTTATCTGCCGGCAGGCAATGTTTCATCGCTACCGCGAGCTATATTTCTTACCGCGATCTAATTCCGTGTTTTATTGTCTAGATAAAAGAAAGCCTCACCTACACAATAATTCTGTCTAGATACAACTCGATACAACGATAACTAGCTGTATCGGGAAACCTATTTTTACGCAAGAAGCAGGAAACTTCTTTCAATAACGTACACAGCAGAACAAATTGAAATAGCCCTATAGATCTCGTAAGTAAACTTATCGGAAAGAACAGGATATTTATAGACACATTGTCAATTTCTAGCGGTGTAAAGTTTGAGAAAGATTGAATGCATTGAAAGGATGGAAATATTTTTCACTAAAGAATGAATTTATGGCATGGAAAACAGCTTTTATTTGTAACCTAATTTTTACATTTAAATTGGACAATGTTTTTGCTTAACTAGCAATCGAACGATTCACACTTGAAATTGATTTCAATGAAAAGAGTCATCTGTATTGCTAAAACAATGTGTTCAAATGGGGCGGCAACTTTTTCAAATATTTTACCCTCTATTCAACAATGAGTTGTCGTCTTGCTTCCAACAAAACGAAAAAATTAATTTTATTGGAATCAAGATACCAAACTTCATTCTCGAATAATGCAAATTAAAAACAGCTCACTTTTAACCGATATAGACGATTTAACTCTTTGTTTTCTATTTGTTCAAGTTTTGCAGTCTATACTAAAATGATGTTTCTTGGTTTATAGGCTCGAAACGAACATTAGAGGGCTCATTAGCTGGTCTTCTAACTCAGTTTTTCTTTGTTATCTGGTTATGGGCATTTGGTAAGTACTAAACTAATTATTGCCAATTGGTGCATAATTGCTCTGTTTTAGATATTATACCCTATACTCGACGAAATTTAATTCTTATTTCGACAGCAATTACATTCAGTAGTCAAATGGAAGCATTTTCTCGCGATATAGACAATTTAACTCTACCAATATGTCTATTTCCATTTCTTTACATGTGTGATACTACCACTATAACCACGGCTACGAACTTATCATTAACCGCAAACAAATAGGGTTTTTGCACAAAGGTGCCTATTTTGTTATTTTATGTTTTCGTTTCGACCTTCGAAAACAATCAAGCCTAATTTGTCTGTTTATTGTTTTTCTCTCTATCTCTTCTGTTTGAACTCATTATTATCGATCCACATACAAGCGATACGTGTAATAAAGCGTTAATGAAGCTTTTGATTGATATTTGTCGGATTTTTTTTTGACATAAAGGTGAAATAGAAAACATAAACTACTACACACCTGCACTTTAATAAATGATTATAGATAGAGAAGTGTATAATCAAATTAATATATATCGAAATAATCAATCTTTCGTATTCTAACCATTTGTCAGCGAGAGAACTGGATATTTGCAACCCGGGTCTCTACTGACGAGGGTACTGCCTCAAGTTGGAAATCGCTCTTTCGAACCAACTAGGTGGACTATATGTAATTGATGACGCTAATTCGGGATATGAACATCGTAGATGCCCTTGAGCTTTTATTGGCTTTACTGTTCTGAAACTGTATCTGTAGGAAACGAGTGATCATATAGAGAAAAGCGTTTTGCAACTTGGGACGGTTCCCGCGTGAGTATAAACGTACTGACGACACTTGACATCAATCCCATAAGTTTTTCTTCTAAACCTTTACCATTCTAAAATCTGTAACAGAAGAGCTCAAGGATCTTCTCGATGTGATGGCATCGATACTATTTTATCGATATAGTGCTAGAAGAATTCTTAAATGGCTGTGTAGTTAATGTGAAATCCACAAGTATGATTGCTGTCTATTGCGAGATCGTAGTTTACATATGAGTTGGAAGTGAATACTAGCTACACTTTATTCTACCGTAGTAGTATAATAAAATAAAACGATTGATGCAACAAAAAACTAAACGTAAAACAACTGTGCAAAAAATTAAAGATGAAACGAAGCTAAATGAGATTAAATGATATTAACGATTTTTCTTGTTTATGTTTTCTCTAACTGTTTTACTAAATTCATCCCACCGTTCTGTGCTTTATCTCTTTGCTATTTGCTAGATCTATAGCAGACCACGTTGAGCAAGTCGATAATATTCCTCTTGATCAATTGGGCCTTCTTGATTAGTATCTGCAGCATGGGATGAAGCATTCACAACATCAAATCCATTTGCTGACGATACTCCATTGCCGCCACCATATAATCCAGATTCGTACAATGATGACGATAAATATTGTCCACCATCGTAACCTTCGGTGTAACCAGAATCATATCTGGATTGGGAAGAATGCAATCCTGCATAGTAGCCGTCTGAAAGAGAATAAAGTTGAAAAAAAAGTTTTAAAAATATTTTTCACTCATGTGAGCGGTAAGAAAACATATACTGTTACTCAGTCTTTGTTTGCCAAGTCTGCGTGTTTCTAAAAGCAGTTTAGTATCAGTATATTTACCTCCAGCAGTTCCCCAGTCGTAAACAGATGGTATGCCATAAGCGTCTGCATAGGTTTGGGCGAGACCACCATAATATGTATTTGTGCCTGCATACCCAGTTCCAACTACTCCAGGCGGTGAGATATCTTCGACAACACCAGCGTGTCTCGCTTCTTGCAGCAAACTGAAGGAATCTCTAAGAGAACTACCATAACGTTGAACGTAATGGTGGGGATTTTCCGCTTGCACTCCAAGTCGTTGAAATTGTCTGACGACTTGAGCTTGAATTGGTTCATATTGAATGACGATATTTCTTGGTCGCGGGTATAATCTTGCAGGACCGGCTCGTTGAAGTATGACGCGGCGTCGTGCTCGACGTCCGTACGGGAGCCATCTTTCGATGATGACATCACCTAAACGAAAGTGAAAGATTTATGATCATTGAAAAATCCCAAAATATGCAGAAAAACAAACTGACGTGGTTTTGGTGGAAGAGGTGGAAGACGTTCAATAATAACTGAACGTGGTGGAACCGGTAATGCAGCCAAACGACGAATGACTAGTTGGCTTTGAATTGGTAGAGGTGGTAGTGGTGGTCGTTCACGAAGAACGAGTGGAGGCCTAGAAAATAAAAGACTAATTTAGTAGTCGTAATGTTCGTTGTTCTTTATACAAATTGTTATTTCTTATACCACATGCAATTGTTTTTCATCATGTTTGCCTTCTTAGTACAGTGAACTTACAAGCTTCGAAGAGGTGGAGCTCGTTGTCTGATGCGAAGTGGGGGTGGCGCTGGTGGTTGTGGTGGTCTAACTTCTTTGATGATGAGTGGCTGTAAATGAAAGCGATATAATCACTATCAACGTTAATGATAGAATACATGGAAAGGGTTGCTGTAGAGCTTTTATTGTTTATCTCTCTTCTGCAGTGCTGAGAATATGTCTCATTAGACAAAAAGTTGTGTACAAAGTAGAGGTATTTCTCGCGCATTTTTAAAAGAGAATTAATTGAAAATGTATTAATTTAATTGTGGAGAACGATCAACTGAAACCTATGAACTAAGCGAATATGATGGCTCGAATACTAAAGAACAAAAACTTACGCCTGGAGGTGGAACTGGTGGTGGTTGTAAGAATCGAACAAGAATATTTTGTTTGTATGTTACTCCTCCACCTGGTGCTGGTCGTCGAATGATTTGCGGATTTGAATCTTGATACAAACCTTGGGCATCTGTTGCCCAGCCACTGGTTGCTGCAACAGAGCCTTTGTGTTGTTTGTGAATGATGTGATCGTTCGTGTTTAATTGAAGTTAAATTTCCGGAGGATGACGCATGTCATCATGCACGGCGTGATGGATGAATATGATCGTACACCGACGCCGTATGATGAGGAACTGTGAGAGCCATAACCTCCATCGTGGCTACCACCATATAAAGCTGACGTATTATAGCCGACACCACCATCATATCCATTCAAGTAGGATACTGAAGAATCATAGCCTGAGTAGCCAGTTCCACCTAAACTGGCGCCAGCCGTATAGTAGCCTGCGTCTCCAGCGAACGGACCACCGCTATATGATGATGATGCTTCATAATTTGATGATCCATCATAACCTGCGAATGAGCGGCCGGAAGCTCCTCGTGTGGCATTCGCACCATTAGCCCATTGGTGGAATTCCGTCGGATCAATTACCCCATCTCTGTTCACATCTATTTGATTGAATATTGCTTGTGGCACGTCAATACCGGCCATTTTCTATTTTATTTTGGTAAGTGACTTAGGATTTTATTCTGCGTTATTCGTGTAGAATATAACTTTCTCCGATTGAAAATCATCGATTTTATACTAGTTAACTAATCAGTTGGATTAATGAAGCGTGATGAGAAAATACTTTTTTATGTTTTTTCTCAACGATTGAGAAATCCGCATGATGCTTGGGTCTGACGACAAAAACTTTATTTGTAATCATAGGGGTAGCCACACACAAATATCAGAAGGTTTTTCTCAAGGTTTAGTTTTTTTATTTTTCACATTAATCATACCTATCAAAAGCATTTTCTTTACTCGTCATAAGTTCGAGTCAAAAACATTGTACAAATGAGTCAAGTTTAAAATATTCAAATCATACTCTTTCTTTAACCACAGTAAACTCGCGAGGCACTAGAACGTTCATCATCGAATTATTTCGGTGATGCTTTATGTATATGTTCTCAACTTAATTGGAAGAGAATGTACAGAAATGCAGTGTCGAGAACTGCGCGCGGAGTAAGGACTAGTTCAAGTTTCAAAGGTTTGAGCTTGTCCGTAACAAACAAGCGGTTGTAAAACCAAATCTATTTTGTGAAGTTCGAAAATGAGATTGAAGAAACTGTCAAGAGTTCGAAAAATAAAAGCTGATTCCATGACTCGTGAGATATAAATAATAAACAGGTTAACGTATTATCAGACGTAATATTAAAATATACTATCTCCTATACCGATGTCACATGATATAGCAAGATTCACAGACTTAATAAATGCCAACTCCTGCTTCGAGCCGTAAAAGCATTAATAATGAATTTTAGGTCCGTTTCTTTATCTAGTTATTTTCTCTAAACAGACATATGTAAATTACTTGGCATAACTAAATTTACATCTCCAATCTTTTTTCTTTCTTAAAAGTAAAAAAACATTGATCGATTATAGGAATGTTATATTTTAATGTTACGCCTAATAATACGTTAACCTGTTTATTATTTATATTCCACAAATGATCAAATCAGCTTTTATTTTCCGAACTCTTGACAGTCTCTTCAATCTCATTTTCGAACTTCAAAAAATAAATTTGCTTCTACACTCTTATTCTATTATTCGCTAAACTATATAGGTATGCATGCATGCACTAAATGATCGATCATCTAACTTAAGACAAAAACAAGTTTTTAGATTAAACATTCTTCCACCATTGCAATACATAAAGTTATAGTCCTGTATTTGATACACAAGAAAAAGACCTGCAACTAGTGTTTTAGGTTTCAAAATAATTTTGACCATGTAATGTACTCAATACTCAACTGATTTTTACACTAATACACTAACCGATGCAAAATTTGATATATGAACTATTTCTATGGCAAAAGAATTTGTAGAGTTCTATAAGGCCTTAAATAGTTTTCAATATGATATAAAACAGGGCATACAAGACTCCGCTAATAAATAGCGCTGTTGTATATTCAATTAATATAGCTGAAATATTTTCTATTCTTTTTTTCAGAGTTTAGGATAAGAATTTTATGGGAACTGAAATTCATTTATCTTTAAATTTTGAAGAAAATCGTTTATTCCTTTTTCATGAACATACAATTCAATTGATAATTTAATTCAACTTGTATTGCGCATCTCTCTTTTATTCCACTTTCAATGTTGGTGCACATTGTCTACTCTAATCAGTGATTTTAGTCGTTTATTAACTCCATCAGAATATCACATATGAGTTTGTCAATTACGCCGCATTTTTATAAAAATATTGAATATATTTCCAGGTTTCTACTTCATCCATACATTTCGGTTAAATACATAGATAAAAATCGAATGGAGGTGGTATCGCATTTAATGTTGATTTGTTCTTGGGGGATATTGGTCAATTAATCATTCTCTTCATTTCTTCCACTTGAATAATATACATTCTTATCTTATTATTCACTAAACTATTTAGGTCATGTATGCTCTAAATGATGAATTATATAACTTAAGACAGAAACAAGCTTTTAGATTAAATCTTCTTTCCTTTTTAAACAGTAGTATTTTCTCATATTTCCTAAACAACAGAACGTGCTGAGCGCGTGAATATCTCAAAATGTTCAGCACAGTTTCTTCTTCAATTTCGGCGTTGCAGAGCTCTGAACATATTCTCATTCAAAATATATTAAAGAGATAATATGCAAAAAACGTAACTGCCGTGTAATTACGTTGCCAAAGCCGAGTAGAGAGTTCCGACCAAAAAAAACAATTTCTGTCCATACATCATGAATCTAGAACACATAGAGGCGTAAAGTTTGAGAAAGATTGAATGCATTGAAAGGATGGAAATATTTTTCACTAAAGAATGAATTTATGGCATGGAAAACAGCTTTTATTTGTAACCTAATTTTTACATTTAAATTGGACAATGTTTT